CAATGCCAATCCTCCTCTTTTTGCTGAGGAAGACTGGCCCTGGGCTAACATCCGTGCCCATCTTCCTCTACTTTATATGGGACGCCGCCACAGCACAGCTTAACAAGCGGTGCATCGGTGCGCGCCCGGGATCTGAACTGGCAAACCCCAGGCTGCCGCAGCGGAGTGCGTGCACTTAACTGCTTGCACCACCTGGCTGGCCCCGTGAAAGCTATTTTTGAAGGGTTCTATTGTGTACTGCTTTAGTGATGTTAGAAACTAATTCATTTAAAATTAATAATATATCTTTAGCAGCTTTTAAAAAGATAATCTCAAATTTTGCTTCTCAGCCTATTGAGATTGTTATTAGAAAATAGAAGAAACAAAGAGCTCTTTATAAATAAACCACTTTATTCAGTAGCTTTCATAATATTGACTGTTGTGTTTAAAAACCAGTAAAACTCCAAGTGTAATAAAATACAACTGAAGTATTATGAAAGCAAAGACTTAAGTTATATCACAAGTGTTTTTAAAAGAGCTCAATTTACATTATAGCTATTAAAACTATATTGCATAGATACTACAGAAAATCTAGATTAAATATTATAAATGATGTACTTGAATTTCTTTTATTTGTTTATTTATTTATTTTTGAGGAGGAAGATTATCCCTGAGCTAACATCTGTTGCCAATCCTCCTCTTTTTGCTGAGGAAAATTGGCCCTGGGCTAACATCCATGCCCATCTTCCTCTACCCCGCATGTGGGACGCCTGCCACAGCACGGCTTGATAAGTGGTGCATAGGTCTGTGCCTGGGATCCGAACCTGCAAACCCCGGGCCACCAAAGCGGAGTGTGCGAACTTAACCATTACATCACTGGGCCGGCCCTTGCATTTCTTTTAAATAGCAAGCTTGTGACTTTGTTCTGTGGAGAACGTGGGCTTTGGAATTTGGGGATTACTAGTATTTATTTTTTGTTTCTTTTATATTTAAAATAGATGTTCGTATCAGAAAGCAAGGAGACAGCATCTGCAGACGTAGACAGCTTCTACAACTTTGCTGATATACAGATGGGAATATGAAGTGCAGTGTGGAACCAGGGACTGGATGTTAAGCCCTTTTCAATTTGTGTATTAGCAACGGTTTTTACTAATGCTAAAATTGTTAAATTTTACTTTTTAATAAATGGTTGAATACTGCATCATTTACTTGAGGTTCAAAAGTAGTTCATTTTAAATTAAGTAGTTTTATTCAGCTTAAAAACTATGTAACCCACTTCAGTAAGCTCACAGTTTTGTTTCTCTGCATATGATACTGTTATTAGAAAATAGAAGTGGCTAACAGTTCGTGATTTTAATCCTAATTAAATGTTCTTTCAAATCTTTGATAATTTAAAGTTTCCTCAGTGCCCTATGATATTTGTTTGAGAATACATTCCATTGCTTATTTTGTTTTTCAATTTAGAGGGATTTGTTACTAGTTGATCAATTAGAATGAACCTATGCACATTTTTTTCATATATACATATCCAATTAAATAATTGCTTCCTAGGCACATAATATGGCGAATGAGATTTTATACACAGAGTTGACATAATACTTTGTAAACTGAATTTTTTAAATTAATAGGTATTTGATACCAGTTTTACAAGTAACTCTACTAACTGATGTTAGTATAGCTGTTTAAAGACTACTTTGTGAGTAGTATAATTATTTGAATAAATTCCACATTGTTTAGTTTTTGAGTACAACTGCTAGATGACTCTTCTGCTTCCTGGTAAGAAAAGGTATATGCAACACTAAAACTATGGAAGCCCGATCACCGGCAGTTTTCAAGAAGGTGATTACTGTTTTATTAGCTCTTGTAGGCTTTTAGGAGAATTAGAACAAAACTTTGTGACATTTAGGTAAGAAATGCTTAGGCATAATGATAAGCTATGCAGGTTATTAAAAAGCTAGATAAATTTGATTTTCATTAGACACGGCACTCATATCAAGTAATGTTCAAGTATGATAAAATTATTTTGGTTGCTTTAAAGCATTATTTTCTAAATCAACCTGACCATAATAATTTACCAGGAGGCAGGGGAGAGCTACTTGTTTAAAAATCCACATTCTTGGACCCAATCCCCAGATGCACCAATTCAGTCTCCAGGAGAAACTCTGTTTTAAGGGGTTTGTTGTAATCTAAAGTAATCTGTTTAGAAGATGTTGATACGTTGATCTTATGAGAAGGGACTGAACCTGCCATCTACATCACATATAGCAGCTAATAGAAAATTAGCTTTCATAGGTCTATTTTTAAAAGGAACCTTAAGTTTAATTCTATTTTGGTAAAATTAAGACTGAAAATAGCCACTTGTAAAAATTCCTCATATGATTGTTACTAAAAATGTATTTTCATGTTCAAACTGTTTTTGGATATTAACTACTACACTGAATTGTGTGTTGATGTTCAGAAGTAAAAGATTAATTGAATTTCCATTTTAAATTAGTAAGTAATATTGACCACCTACCCGGTGCCTGGCCTTGTTCTAACTATTTGCATTGCATCATTTTCATCTTTTTATAACATCTACATAATCAACCTCTCCTTTAAGTCAAAATGATTTAAAAAGATGCAAATAAAAATTGGTGATAGGTTTAATATAATTTACAAATGAGCTTTGCAACTAGTGGTCAGAGGGCATTAATTTTTCCTGTAATTAAGTTGAATTAAACATATTCCTTCTGATCATGATTACATTATTAAACCCCATTATTCACATTTAAGATAATCACAATACTTTTTGTCTTTCAAAAATATAATACAATGTTATGCAAAGCTATAAATTTTCTTTATTTTATCTATGGTATTTTAGCAAAAACTCAGGAATACAACATATAAGGGAGATGTTAATTTAAAATTTTCCACTAAATTTAGTAACTATTAACCAAAGCCTAAAATTTTATATTCTTCAGTTAGATAAGAGCTTTTACCCAAGTTTACTTTGTCTTTAAGGACAGTGATTTGGCTTCTGAATGTTTGAAAAGATTTTTAAAAATAAGTAGTGCTATGGTTGTTGTTTCTATGATTCAAAACGTTGATAGTAATTATACTACATTTCATTTCTGAATAGCTCTTGAATTCATGAAAAATTAGCAATGAAAAATTAGTAATTTTATTAAGTTATACATGTTTAAACATTATATTAGCTTATTTCTCTTATGTTAATAGTGCTGCTGTTTTTGCTTCTGTATATTTGTGTCCAGCTTTTATATGTAATTTAGTGTTTATAAAATGTGATTTGTAATAAATGTTGTTAAAATGAAAAGGGCTTAACACTCATCTTTGAAGAGCACTTCTAAAACATACATTTACTTGTACGTGTGCCAAAATTTCATCATGACACAAATTTTTTAATGATAAAAGTGAAATAAAATGGTCTAACCTCTGTCTTATATTAATGAGAAATGAGCTGTGTGTGTGTGTGTGTGTACACAAAGCACTCTGGAGAAATGCAAAGAAAGTAGAAACCTATTTTAATCTAAGTAATTTCCAATATAATGCTTCCTTTGTTAAGAAATACATCCTATTATGATTGAATACTTACTAAGATTAGGCATCTTTCTCTTCCATATTTAAGAAAATAATGAATTGTTTGTGATATACTTTTTTTCAGGTTTATACAAATGGACCTTATTTTTAAATTACTACCAAATTTACCAGCTTTTTGTATCCAACTTCTCCCTCTCCTAGCCCATAAATCAGAAGTACTGAAACTGCAATTTGGTTAGTTCTTATTTATTTATTTATTTTCCCCCAAAGCCCCAGTAGATAGTTGTGTGTCACAGCTGCACATCCTTCTAGTTGCTGTATGTGGGACGCGGCCTCAGCATGGCCGGAGAAGCGGTGCATCAGTGCGCGTCCGGGATCCAAACCTGGGCCGCCAGCAGCGGAGCACGCGCACTTAACCGCTAAGCCACGGGGCCGGCCCTGGTTAGATCTTAAAATTCATTTAGTATCATTATTTCTATATATAAAGCTTCTACATGTACATTTAGAGCATTTGGGGGAAAAAAACAGAAATGCACAAGACAATACCAAAAATTACTTTCTATTTATTGGATAATTCTTGCTGTGCTGTTTAAAATTTGTTTTTCTCATTTAAAAGGGACATGTTTAACTCTGTTCTCTATAGGAAGAGAAGATACCATAATTAGGGTATGATTACTCCTTCAAAATCCATTCTAGAAAATACTTTAAAACACTAAAAAAGTCAAATTTCATTTGAATTTTAGTAATTCAAAAAAGAAAACCTTTTTTGTGAAAATGGAGTCATTCACTGTTGACTTGGTTTTCTTTTTTGGTAGAGTGTTGGGAGGAAGGCAATAAGCCTTTTTACTACTTCATCTCTCTCCTTTGACATTTTGGCTTTTAGTGGCAAACTCCAGCAAGATGTTCAGAAACAGCAATTTCTTCCTTTTCTTGTGTTTTGGTGCTTTCCTAGTGAGAGCAGGTTCTCACCTATAAATAGATGGTGAGGGAGTAGGAACACAGGGAGCAGAAGGCATCAGCTCTGATCCTCCCTCTGGGGCCTGCCTTCCTCAATTCAGCTTAATTGGACTAATGAAAAGTAACTTGCAAATGGTGTGACAAGTAATTAACTGATGTTTGTAAGTGCCTTGAAAATAAAAGGAACTTTATGAATGTTAAGTATTATTGTGCCAAGCAGAGAGAGTACGGATGGTGTTCTTTTAAAGTAGTTAAGCTGTGTAGCCATACACCTACCTACAAATAGACAACTGAATAGGAAAAAACAAATATGAGGCTGTTAAGACTTAAGTGCTGTTTTCTTATTGATTGATGTACTTTCATTTGTCAAATGTAGGTCAGTCTGTTAGGCTCATTAATAAAACCTTTTGTACTATTTCACCCTAACTTCCAAACAGATCATATATTAAGTGATTTTAAAATTTATCTCATTAGAGTCATCTAGTTTTAGGACTTTGAAGAGTCTGGACATTTTCAATCTCTCATTTTACAGATGAGAAAATTGAGGGTCAGAAAGTTTAGATGGCCTGTCCAATCACACCATAATCACTGAGCCACAATGTAGACCTCTTGACAAGACCCAAGATCACCAGGAGAACAAGGCTCAGCTCATCTGTCTTCTCCTACATGAAGCCTTTTTTAACACTCCCAGAAAGGTGCATTCCCTCCTTGGTGCTCATACAGTGCTCTGTATAGCTTTCCAAGTACCTATAACACTTGATTCTATTTCTTTATCCAGGCCTCCCTTGCTACTCAAAGTGTGATCCATGGACCAGCAGCATCAGCATTACCTAGGGCTTGTTAGAATCTCAGGCCCCACTCCAGATCTGTAAAATAAGCTTCTACATTTTAACAAGGTGTTCAGGGGATTCATATGCACATTCAAGTTTGAGATCTCTGTCCTAGACCATTAGTTCCTTAAGCGCTAGAATCAAGGCTTAGAGATCTTTGTATTCCTAGAGAGTAGCTTAGGGTCCAGTAACATGATCTATATTTAATAAATGTTTTTGATTGAAGGACACAATCCAATGCTCCATTCTACTCTCCTTGATTGGCTTTGGAATAAAAAACATTCTACACTATTTACTTTTTTCCTTCCTGTTTTGTGTTGAAATAGTAACCACGGTCTCTGCCCACTGAGGCTCTCAGGGAGCTTTGAGAACATCAGTGGTATTCATTGGAAACAGAGATAAAAACACAGCAGTTTCTGACTTAAATTTTCTTCTGATGTGTTTTCGTATTCGAGTTTGTTTTATTCAATTAGGAAACATGTTGCATAAAGCCAGAGTGATTGTTGATGCTGAGGCTGAGTTAAAAGAAAAAAGCAGTCAGCTACTCTCTTTGGGCTTGTGGGGAAAGTTAGTCAGTTAGTCCTTCTCAGATCTGTTATCCTCCCTCTTTATCTCTTGACATCTTCCCACTTATAGTGTTCAGGGATGAGTTTGACCATCATCAATAAAACATGTGCAGGATTGTCCAGAGAAGTGTTCAGTATTGCTCCAAATTTGGGGGGGAATATGATGGTGACAAAGGCCTAATTGTAAATCTAAAATTTGAAAGAAAAGTAAAATCCTAAATGTAGACTCTACCATTTATTTACTTTAAATGGTTTTTCTTCCTGTTTCCTCAGTATAAACATATTGACGTCTTCATATGAAACTTAAATTGTAA